AGAGACACCAGAAATAGATCTACACACATGTAATATGCACAACTGATCTTTTACCAAAGGACAAATACAACTCAATAAAGGAAGGCTAGCTTATTCATCAAATGGTGCTTCAGGAACTGAACATAACATAGGTAAAAAAGAAAAATTGAACTACAGCCTATACCTCACACCTTTCATAAAATTACCTCCAAATGAATCAAGAACTTAAATATAAAATTAGACACTATAAAACTTTTTAGAAAAAAGGAAAATCTTCAGGTCCTAGAAGTAGGCAACGAGTTATTTAATTTGGAACCAAAAGTGTAATCCATTAATAGAAAAATTCATCAACTGGACTTCATCAAGATTAAAACCTTTTGCTCTGTGGAAGACCAACCCTATTAAAGGATAAAAAGTAAAAATTTGGAGAAATTATTTTCAAACCACACATTCATCAAAGGACTAGTATCTTGAATATATAAAGAACACCTCAAAGTAAAATAACAATCCAATTAGAAAATAGCCCCAACTTTGAATAGATAGTTCACCAAAAAAGGTGTAGATATGGCAAATAAGCATATTAAAAGATATTCAGCATCATTAGCCATTGGGAAAATGCAAATTAAAACCACAATAAGATTTCACCATACACTTATCAGAGTGACTCTTAAAAAATGGTGAAAATATCAAATGCTATTAAAGCTGTGAAAAACTCGATCATGCACATATTGTAAACAGAAATGTAAAATGACATAGCCTCTCTAGAAGGTAACTTGGAAGTTTTGAAAAAAACGTACACAACAAACAAAAAACGACTACACACAATTACCATATGACCCAGAATTTGTACTCCTGAACATTTATCTCGGAAAAACAGAACTTGTGCATGAATGTTCATAGTAGCTTTCTTTATAATAGCACCAAACTGGAAACAATTCACATATCCTTTAAATGGATAGAAATCTGGTTCAAAGAAATGGTGGTTCATTCATACGAAGTTTCATGCAACAACTTGGTCGAATCCCAAGGTAATTATGCTGAGTGAAAAAGAATCCCTAAAGGTTACATATTGTATGATTGCATCTATATAACATGTTTTTCAGACATGGTCTCGTTTAGCCTAGGCTGCCCTCAAACTCACTATGCAGTTGATGATGATCTTGAACTCCTGATCCTCCTGCACTGCAAAGTATGCACCACCACACTCAACTTATATAACATTCTTGAAATGACAAAATTACAGAAATGGAGAGCAGATTAGTAGTTGCCAGTGGCTAGTGGTGGTGGGTGGTGAGGAATGAGCTGACTGTGGATCAATATCCTACTTGTGAATAATGTACTATTAGTGTAACAAGATGCAACTATTGGGGGAAATGGTCAAGGATATACTAGGTAGCTCTGGATGATATAACTACACATGAATCTACAATTATCACAAAATAAAGTTTAATTTTAAAAAGTCTTTTACAAGGGCTAGAGAGATGGCTCAGTGGTTAAGAGAATTGGCTGCTCTTGCAGGGGACCCAGGTTTGATTCCCAGCACCCACATGGTGGATAATAACTGTCCATAACTCTAGTTCCAGGGGATCCAATGCTCTCTTCTGACCTCTGCAGGCATTGCACGACACAGGGACACCTACATACATGCAGGCAATATACTCATACACATAAAATAAAATAATAAATAAATAAAATAAAATAATAAAATATTTTACACTCACAAAATAAGAATAAAGACAAGCCTGGAATCTTCTAGAAAAGAATCATCAGGGTGGAAAATAGACTGAAAGTTATATCCTAGAGAAATGGAAGGAGCTGGATTTACTGGGAAAAAATTATTTCCTAATGGCAATATTTGGAAAGCTGTCCTGTGGAAGAGGATTGAATAAAAATCCACAAGGAGGATGTACAGAGAGAAGATGAAATCTCCACATTGAGAAGAACATTCTAGGACACCTCTGCAGCAGGGCAAAGAGGCTTCCAGGACATGTATTTTAGGAAGGGGTAAGGTGAGGATAAGAAAAAGGACAATTATTCAAGTACAGGAAAGACTAACATTTTGTAATTTTCTCCTCAGAGGGGCTAGAAGTGGGAAGGACATTAGGGAAGGTGCTGAGACCTGATTCAGGTGTGCAAATTGCTGGAGACAATGCCATGGTGGGCTATGTATGCCAACTTCAAGGAAGGAGCTTGTTAGCTGGGTAAATGCTGTGCTCTTTACTCAGTGGGGTTTATATTTAGAGAAAGATATTATTCAAGCCGTAATTCCCAACTCCTGGGCTTTTTGCTCCATCAGCTGGGCCCCAGAGAGATCTGAGAGGAACCCAAGAAGATTGCAGTGGAGACAACAGCAAGATGCTGGCAGAGGGTTTTCAAATGAGTGACTTTGGCCTTTGAAAGGCTGTGCCAGTCACTGGAGTAATTTCAGATAAACAGGCAGGCACATTAGGAAAATTACTACTATTATGCACTACAAGGTTGCAAAGAACACATGTGTCCTTGTATAGCACCATATTTTTTTTAAAGTCTTAGAACAGAGATGTTGAAAGTTTTCCCAAGTCTAGTGAGGGTGTTCTCACAGATTTCATCAGGGCCCACAAAGATGGTACTCATAAAGTTCCTGATTACTACTAGGGCTGGAACTAGGGAATCATATCTTCAAGGACCTATAGAAGATCTTTGCCTTTTGAGGGGGGAAGATTTATTATTACTGAAATATAAGAGAAGTGAAGTGTTTTCTCAATTAAACCCTCTCTTGCCTGTGTCAAAATGGTATGTGATATACTGCAAAGGGCACCATTCAGAAAGAGAAAAGACAACCCACAGGAAGGGTGAATGTATTTGCCAACCATGTATCTGATGAAAGACTGGTATCCTCAGTATGTACAGAACTTTTACCACTCAATAACAAGATGAAAATAATTTAGGCTGGGTAGATAGCTCAGTTAGTGAAGTACTTGCCTTGCAAGTGTGATGACCCAAGTTCAATGCCCAGAACCCACGCTAAAAAAAAAAAAAGTGTGTGTAGTGACATGTACTTGTAATATCATCACTGGGGTGGTGGAGACAGGCAGATCCCTGGGGCTCACTGGGCAACCTAGCCTATTCGGTGAGTTCCAGGACAGTGGGAGACCCTGTCTCATAAAACAAGGTGGATGGTATATACAGTGCCTGAGGAACAACACTTGAGGTTTTCTAGCCTCTGCATGCATGTACACACATGTACACTCACTAGCATATACACAAGAGACAAATAATTCAAAAGTGGGTAAACAACCTTTATAGGTAATACTCCAAAGAAATTACACAAATAACATATAAGTATAGAACAAAATGCAAATCCAAATCAAAATGAGATACTATTTTGCACCCACTAGGATGCCTGTAACAAGTGCGGGTGAGGATGTAAAGGAAATGGAACCCTTATACATTCCTATGGGAATGCTAAATGGTACAACCACTTTGGAAAACAGTGAATTTATCTGAAGGCTAAGCATACACTTACCATGGAACTCAGAAATCTCCCGTCTAGCACTATACTCAAAGCAAATGAAAACCCATTTGCACACTTTGTGTGATTCTATGTAGTACATAAAATGTCCAGGCTAGGCAAATCTAAGGACAAGAGGCAGACTGGTAGTTTTATAGGGCTGGAAATTTTGGGGGAAGGGAAATGGAGAGTGATTTCTAATAGGTACTGAGGTTTGGAGGGTGGTGTTCAAATGTCCTGAAATTATGATGATACAGAACTGTGATTATATTAAATATCCATTGAGTCATTTTGTTCTGGATGGCATGTGAATTATATTTCTAAGTTGTTAATAAAGAAAAAGTCCAAGTCCCATGTGACAACTTGTAGTGCATCCTATCTTGTAGATATAATTTAATGTGTGAGACTAAAATAGTAAGGTGCAGAAGATGTAGTGAAGACCTCTTTGGGTTCACAGAAGTTCAGAGATCTGGCAGGCAGTGTACTTTTATAGTAGTCTGTGTTTCAGGTAAACAAAGTTTGTTTATGGTGCCTCCTGAGACCTTGTCAAGTTCACTAGAAAAGTCAAGACAAATAGGGCAGGAAGGCTATGTACTAGGCAACAAAGAGTACAAATGTAGCATTATTCATCCCAATGAGGAGTTAAGACTACATCTGTATTTAGTTTGGACTTAAATATCAACATCTAGTTAGTGCCTTGAGAGTCTTTACTCTGGTTGAAAACTTCAACTATTTTTATTTGAAAAAATATTTTATTTATTTTTTATTTTATGTGTATAGGTATATTGCCTGTAAGTGCACCCGAGTCCTGCAATGCCGGCAGAAGTAAGAAGAGGGCGTCAGAACTGGAGTTACCGACAGTTGTTAGCCACCATATGAGTGCTGGGAATCGAACCCAGGTGCTCTGCAAGAGCAGCCAGTGCTCTTAATCTCTGAGCCATCCCTCCAGACCCAGCTTAAACTTGTTTTGAGGGGAAAAAAGAAAGGGAGGGAAGGAAGGAGGGAGGGAAGGATGTGCAGAAGGAAAAAAGGAAGGAAAAAGGAAGTTAGAAGGAAGTTGGAAGGAAGGAAGGAAGGAAGGAAGCAAGGGAGGAAGGAAGGAAGGACGATAGCTAGCAAGATAACTAGGAAGCTAGGATAGCTCTTAATAGTGGTCAGGGTGAAGAGATGAAGGAAAAATCCCCAAACCCAAACCAACGAATCCCGTGCAATTCCGGGTTCCGCCAGTGGCCCGGCTGGGGGCGCTGCGCGGGGGAGCCGGCAGGGGG